TCTCTCTCCTTCCTTCCTTCCTTCCTTCCTTCCTTCCTTCCTTCCTTCCTTCCTTCCTCCCTCCCTCCCTCCTCCCTCCCTCACTTCCTTCCTTCCTTCTCTTACTTCCCTCCCTCCTTCCCTCCCTCTGTCTGTCCCTTTGTGGTGCCACAAGACTAATCCTGACTCGGGGATACTCTTGACATCCCAGGGCCATGATAGGGACAGCTCCTTGCTGTCGCTCTCACTTGAGGGTTTTGATGTTATTTTTTGGGTGGTGGGGGGGTGAGTTAGTGCATTTGGTGCTCTGTGCTCAGGAGTGACCCCTGGCCTTGATTGGGAAACCATCCATGGTTGCCGGGAATTCGAACCCGATGTTCGGGATGCCAGGCAAGTGCCTTCACCTCTCTCCCGTCTCTCTGGCATTCTCACCTGTCACCTTCAAGATTTCCTCTCTTCTGGGGTCAGCTGCATGTTGGAAAATGGCGTTGCTGGGGCCAGAGAGAAGCTTTGGGAGACCAGGCTTGGATTCCAGCACGGAATGAATCCTGAGCACAGCCAGAAGTAGCCCCTAAGTGTGTATGGGTTTGGGGGAAGGAGAGAGAGAGAGAGAGAGAGAGAGAGAGAGAGAGAGAGAGAGAGGGAGAGGGAGGGAGAGCAGAGAGAGAGGGAGGGAGAGACAGAAAGAGGGAAGGAGAGATAGACAGAGACAGAAGGGGAGAGAGACAGAAAGGAGAGATAGAGACAGATAGTGAGATATAAAGAGACAGGGAGGGAGGGATGGAGGGAGGGAGGGAGGGAAGAGAGGGGAGGAGAGGGGAGGGGAGGGGAGGGGGAGAGGGAGGGGGAGGGGAGAGGAGGGGAGGGAAGGGGAGGGGGAGGGAAGGGGAAGTAAGTTTGCTGGACTGAGGGAGGAATGTCTCAAAGGGCTGGAAGCTTTGCTTGCTGGAACCCCAGGCTAGAGCCTGACGCCACAACAAACTACTGCCAGGAATGAGCCCTGAGGACTGGACCAGGTTTGGCCCCCCCCCACAAAAAGAAAAAAGTGCCTTTGTTATTTTATTTATTTATTTATTTATTTATTTATTTATTTTTGCTTTTTGGGTCATATCCAGCGATGCACAAGAGTTACTCCTGGTTCACGCACTCAGGAATTACTCCTGGCAGTGCTCGGGGGACCACATGGGATGCTGGGAATCGAACCTAGGTCGGCTGCGTGCAAGGCAAATGCCCTACCCGCTGTGCTATTGCTCCAGCCCGTTTTTTTTTTTTTAATAATCACTAAATTTCTTTTGTAGTATGAGCATTTCAAAAACATCTACTGAATTGTGAGGCATTTATTTCTGAGTTTCATTTAGGTCCTACCCAGCCGGGCTGGGGACTGCTCCCAAATCAGTGCTCCTGGCAGTGCTCATGGGCTGTGCGGTTCCGGGGATGGAGGCCCGACCTCTGGCATGTGAAGCATGAGCCCCGGCCCTTGAGCTCTCTCTGGTTCCTGCTGCACATTTTAAAAGTTGACTTCTCTTCTAAGAAGTGTCTTTTCCTGCAGCCCAGAGAGTTTTCATGTGGCTGGTCCTGCAGGGGTCCCCGGTGCCACGGGTGGTCCCTTGAGCCCTGAGCCCTGAGTAGACCCTGAGTACTGCTGGTGTAGCCCAAATCACCCCCATCCCAGTCAAGTTTTTATTTCTAGAAGGCACAGAAATATGTATCTGTGTGCATGATTGAATCAAGAGCAGAATTTCTTTTTACTTTGTTTTTTTTTTTTTTGTGGCAACACCTAGTGGTGCTCAGGGCTTACACCTGGCCACCTGGCTCTGTGCTCAGGGGTCACTCCTGGAGGTGCACAGGGGACCATAGAGGTGTCGGGAATTGAACCTGGGTTGGCTGCCTGCAAGGGAAGAGCCCTACCTGCAGTGCTGTCACTCCAACCTAAGACCAGAATTTTCGATTTAGAATTTTTTAGCTCAAGTGCCCTCCAGCCTACCCCTGCCTAATTCTCACTTTTAAATTTTTTTATTTTGGGGTCACACCCAGCGATGCACAGGGATTGCTCCTGGCTCTTCACTTAGGAATTACTCCTGGAAGTACTTGGGAACCCTATGGGGTGCCGGGGATCCAACCCACGTGGGCCATGCCCTACCTGTTCTGCTGTACTGTCATTCTAGTCCCAACTTTATTTTTTTTGGGGGGGGATGGAATTCATACCCAGCAATGCTCAGAGATTACTCCTGGCTCTGCAGTCAGGAATTACTCCTGGAGGTGCTTGGAGGACCATACGGGATGCCAAGCATCAAACCCGCATCGGCTGCATGTATGGCAAATGCCCTACCCGCGGTACTATTGCTTCGGCCCCAACTTTTTTCTTCTTAATAAATATTGTATTGACGGGGCTGGAGCAATAGCACAGCGGGTAGGGCGTTTGCCTTGCACGCAGCCGACCCAGGTTCGATTCCCAGCATCCCATATGGTCCCCTGAGCAGCGCCAGGGGTAATTCCTGAGCGCATGAGCCAGGAGTAACCCCTGTGCATTGCCGGGTGTGACCTAAAAAGCAAAAATAAATAAATAAATAAATAAATAAATATTGTATTGACTCAGGCTTCCTTTGTAGGTCATAGCGTGCTCTCTCTCTCTCTCTCTCTCTCTCTCTCTCTCTGTTATATATCGGAAATGTAATAGGGCAAGGGTATGTAATAGGACAGGGATCTCCAAACGTGTTTGGCTTACTGTCCCCTTTATAGAGAAAAAAAGATTTTTCTCTGTGTCCCTCCATTCCCCTGAAGCTTCCACTCCCCCTATTCCCCAGGTAGTATCTCCCACTTTGGGAGCACTGGTTTAGGAGAATGGGAAACTGCATTTTATTTTACACCTTTAAAAGAAACAACAGGAGAACTGATCCATACAATCGAGTTGGTCAGGGAAGGTGTTATAAGGGAGCGTCATTGGGGTCCTTGGGCGAGGGGGGACAGGAATAATTTCTGAGCGCATGAGCCAGGAGTAAGCCCTGAGCACTGCCGGACGTGACCCCCAAAATAACAAAAATAAATAAACAGAGGTTTGTTTTGGGTTTGGGGGCCACACTTCCGTCTTAGTCCTGACTCTACACTCAGGATTTATTCCTGGCGATGCTTGGGGGACCACACAGGGTGTTGGGGATTGAACCCAGGTTGGCAGTGTGCAAGCAAGGCTGTACTAGTATTTTAATTTAATTAATTAATTAATTAGTTTGCCTTTTGGGTCACACTCAGCGATGCACAGGGGTTACTCCTGGCTCATGCACTCAGGAATGACTCCTGGCGGTGCTCAGGGGACCATATGGGATGCTGGGAATCGAACTTGGGTCAGCCGCGTGCAAGGCTGTGCTATCGCTCCAGCACCTATACTAGTATTTTTTTAAAACATAACAGAATGTATCCTCCTGGCCGGCTCTAAGTCTCCAGGTTTTTGTGTGTTTGGGGGCCACATTCAGGGCAGCTCCGGCTCTACACTCAGGGATCGCTCCTGGTGGACTCAGGGGACCCTGTGTGGTGCTCGAGGGATCTAACGGGGTTGGCCGTGTACAAGGCAGAAGCTCCCCTCACCTCTATCTCCCCGACCCCGCGTGGGCAGCTGCCCTGCTCTCCGCATTGTTGGGTAGCGGAATTCCAGAAAGCTCTTTCATCTTGCAAAAGCCAGAACTCTTTTTAAAACCCTCACGTCTTCTGCCTTCTGGCCCTTGATAACCATCGATCTCCTTTCTGTGTCCTGGACAGGTCACACTGGAATCACAGTTGATGTCCTTGTGCCGCAAGCTTCTCAAGGTCTAATAGGACAGTAGCAAAGTGGGCAGATTCCTCTTCCGGGTTTTCTTCTTCTTCTTCTTATTATTATCATTTTTTTGGTGGGGGGAGACGCCCAGTGGCGCTCAAGCCTTACTCCTGGCTCTGTGCTCAAAATTCACTCCCGGCAGGGCTCAGGACCATCTGGGAAGCTGGGGATCGAACCAGGGTCAGCCAAATGCAAGACAAATGCCTTACCTGCTGTCCTATCACTCCGGCCCTCTCCCCCTTTTTTTTTAATTTATTTTTTTGTGTTTGGGGTCATACCCAGTGATGCTCAGGGGTTACTCCTGGCTCTGCACGCAGGAATGACTCCTGGCGGTGCTTGGGGGACCCTATGGGATGCTGGGAATCAAACTCGGGTCAGCAGCATGCAAGGCAAACACCCTCTCCAGCTGTGCTATGGCTCCAGATCCTCCCCCCTTCCTTCCTTCCTTCCTTCCTTCCTTCCTTCCTTCCTTCCTTCCTTCCTCCTTCCCTTCCTTCTTTCTTTCCTTCCTTCTTTCTTTCTTTCTTTCTTTCTTTCCTTCCTTCTTTCTTTCCTTCTTTGTTTCTTTTCTTCCTTTCTTCTTTCTTTTCTTTCTTTCTTTCCTCCTTCCTTCCTTCCTTCTTTCTTTCTTTCCTTCCTTCTTTCTTTCCTTCTTTCTTTCCTTCTTTCTTTTCTTTCTTTCTTTCCTCCTTCCTTCCTTCCTTCCTTTCCTTCCTTCTTTCTTTCCTTCTTTTCTTTCCTTCTTTCTTTCCTTCCTTCCTTCCTTCCTTCCTTCCTTCCTTCCTTTCCTTCCTTCTTTCTTTCCTTCCTTCTTTCTTTCCTCCTTCTCTCCTCCTTCCTTCCTTCCTTCCTTCCTTCCTTCCTTTCCTTCCTTCCTTTCTTTCTTTTTTTTTTCCCTTTTTGGGTCACACCCAGTGATACTCAGGGGTTATTTCTGCACTCAGGAATTACTCCAGGCGGTGCTTGGGGGACCATATGGGATGCCTGGGATTGAACCCGGGTCGGCCACATGCAAGGCAAACACCCTGCCCGCTGTGCTATTGCTCCAGCCCCTCTACCCACTTTCTTTCTGCAGCTCCTCCTCACCTCCCCCACTGGCCTCGTCTCCCACCCCTTCCCAAGCCCCTATGCTGTGAGTGGCTAAGCAGAGAAGACCCTGGGTTTGGGGATCCAGGTCCTCTGCCACGGTCTCACCAGCGCCCGGGTTTCTGCCCAGCCAGGTCCCGCAGAAGCTACTCCAAGCGGAGCCTTGGAGGGCAAGGCCGGCACCATTACCTCCAACGAGTGGAGCTCTCCCAACTCCCCCGAGGGGAGCAACGTCTCTGGGGGCAGCCAGGCCTTGGACAAGCCCATCGACAATGACGCGGAGGGTGTGTGGAGCCCCGACATCGAGCAGAGCTTCCAGGAGGCCCTGGCCATCTACCCGCCCTGCGGCCGCCGCAAGATCATCCTGTCCGACGAGGGCAAGATGTACGGTAAGGAGCCCGGTGGGGACGGCTCCTGGCTCGGCGCGGAATACAGCAGCCAGGCAAGAGGGTGTTGGTGTTGGGGGTTTCTGTCCCGGGTTCCCAGGGATTGGAAGGGTCACCTGCAAGTGGATGTTAGGGGTAGGGAGAAACTTTGTTCAAGGGGTCTGGGAACTGAGGCTCATTGTCCCCCGACACCCACCTCTACACACTGGGAAAATCCCTCAACCAACCCCCCCAACCCCTCCGAGCCATGCCAGGGCTCATTCCGGATCATCACGCCAAAGGAAGGTAGAGTTTGGTCCCTGGACTCGTGTGCCCACCTGGACACCTTGAGTCATTCATTCCCGCCTCGGCCCTGCAGGGCCTCCCAAGTTTCCTGTGTCAGTGGAGCAGGTCTGTCCCGTCTCACAGTGGGGACTGCCCTCCCCGGCCCCCTGGGGAGACCGGCAAGGTAGACAAGGGTCCCAGACATGTTCAGGGACCTTGCACTCCCACAGGGCCTGGCCAGCAACGTCATGGGGAGGTGGGACCCCTCAGAAATGCACTGCATGGCCGCCACCACAGCTGACCGAGCAGCAGAGAGGGGCCCCCTAGGAAAGCTAAGCCCGAGAGTAGCCGGACTGCACAGGCTTCTGTTTCTATCGGAAGAATTAATGTCAACCTGCAGCGGGGAGGGGTGTTTTTGTTTTTGTTTTTTTGTTTTTTTGCCTTTTGGGTCACACCCGGCAATGCACAGGGGTTACTCCTGGCTCTGCGCGCAGGAATCACTCCTGGTGGTGCTCAGGGGACCATATGGGATGCTGGGAATCAGACCAGGGTTGGCCGCATGCAAGGCAAACGCCCTCCACGCTGTGCTATTGCTCCAGCCCCAACCTGCAGGGTTTTTGTTTTGTTTTTTTCTTTTTGGGTCATACCCAGGGATTACTCCTGGCTCTGTACTCAGGAATTACTCCTGGTGGTGCTCAGGGGACCCTGTGGGATGCTGGGACTCGAACCTGGGTTGACCGCGTGCAAGGCTAACACCCTCCCCACTGTGCTATTGCTCCAGCCCCCTGCAGGCCAGCTTCTGCGCCCCCATCCCCACTCCCGGCCTTGCCCGGCTCCCAACTTCCCACCATTTGAAGCCGCATGCTTCCCTGGCCTCTGCTTTTTCAGCTGCTTCCGGCGTGGGTGGGTGGGGGGGGGGGGGGAAGCAGCTTTTTGTTTCCTGGGGTGTGTTGTGTGTTACCAGATGACCATAATTGTGGCTTAAAACCACTGGAACTGATTCACTCTCAGCTTGGGGGTGGAGGCCGGGGGCCCAAGTCCCAAACCAGGTGTCACCGGTTTGGGAGGCTGGACTGGTGGGGTGTTGAAGCCCCCAGGACTGCAACACCTGGTTGATAAAGATCTTCTGGGTGTGGCCCCCAAACAAAATTTTAAAAAATGAAAGACAGCGTTTGACCCTTCTGAGATGCTTTAAAAATCATGACAGCGTCACTTAAAGATAGGCTGTGACAATTAATGTGTCACATCATGGACAGCTGTTGGGTGAAATACAGCCGGTACTCCTGCTGAAATAGGATGTGGAGGGCTGGAGAGATGGCTCAGAGTGCTGAGTGTTGTCCCCAACATCACGTATGGTCCCGGAGTGACCCCTGAGCACAGAGCCCGGAGGCACCCCCGAGCACTGCCCCGAACAGATAGGAGAGATGGAATGCTCCGTGATCTTGCTCACCGGTTATCTTCTTTTCTGCCGTGGGGACAGAGGCCTGAGCGATAGGAACGCAGACAGCCTGGGCTTTCTCCCCGGCCTCCCTGGGGAGCCCAGGAGCCCACGTCAGCCTCCCGCACTGCACCCCTGGGCCTCCCTGCAAGGCCTCCGGGAGTTCTGGGAAAAGGCTCTCCCACCCCTCACCATCCCGGCCCCACCTTGTGCCCAGCGCAGGGCCAGGTGGGCTGCAGGCTGCGCGGCTGGTGGCTGACCCATCCCCTTGCAGACCCCACCGTGGCCCGGGCACTGGAGTGGGTTCAGCTCTTCTCAGCTGGGCCCTGGTCTGTGCCATGGCCGGGCACACAGGACGTTGGCAAGAGCTTTTCTGTAGAGCTGGCCTGTCCAGCTGGACGGTATATATAGTTCTGAGCTCAGTGTATGTGTGTGTGTGTGTGTGTGTGTGCATACGTGCGTGCGTGCATGCGTGTGTGTGTGTGCGTGTGTGTACGATGGGTCACCAGAAGCCCCAGCAGAGAGGTCACCACTAACGTATCTGTGTGTGATTTGTATGCATATGTGATGTGTATATGTATGTGTCTGCATAGATAAGTTGTGTATGAGAGGTGTGTGTATGGGACATGGGGTTGTGTGAGCTGTGGGTAGAAGATGTGTATGTGTGAGGTTGTGTCTACGAGGTGTGTATGCATGAGGTTTGTGTATGTGTGTGCAAGAGGTTTGCGTGATATTTGCTATGGGTGTGTGTGAAATGTGTGTGCGTTGAGATTATGTGTCTGTGTATGAGATGTGTATAAGATGTTTGTGTGTGTGTTTGAGGTGTGTGGGTGAGATGTGTGTCTTGTATGAGATTATGTATCTGTATATGAAATGTGTGTTTTTGAGATGTCTGTATATGAGATGTATGTGTATGAGATGTGTTTGTGTATGAGATATGTCTGCATGTGGGATGTGTGTGTGTGTATGAGATGTGTGTGACATGTACATATGAGCATATGAGATGTGCGAGAGAGAGATGTGTGTGTATGTGGGACGAGCGTGTCTATGAGATGTGTATGAGATGTGTGTGTGTATGTGTGTGGGGGGTACATATGTGTGTATGAGATGTGCGTGTGTATGTGTGGGGGGTACACATATGTCTATGAGATGTGTGTATGAGATGATGTGTGTGCGACGTGTGTCTGTATGAGATGTGATATGTATATATGAGATTGTGTGTCAAATGAGATGTGTGAAAGAGAAATGTGTGTGTATGAGATGCATGTGTGTGTGGGGAAGACATGTGTGTCTATGAGATGTGTGTGTGCGTGCGTGTGTGTATGTGTGTTTTCGTGCATGTGTGTGTGTGTGTGTGTGCGCGCGCGCACCCTAGTGAGCCCCGGGAGGCAGGGACAGAGATGTCCCCCAGCTGCCCAGGCTCCCTGCACTGCCCCTGACCTCCAGGCCTCTCCTGCCCCGTTCGGGCTGCACGTTTCCTGAGCCCCTGCGAGCCCCGTGCTGTCCCCCTCCCGCCTTCCCCGCTGTCCCCTCCTGAGACCTGAGACCAGAGCACAGTGTGGCCCTGGCCAGCTGGCGGCCGCGGCAGGAGCACACGCACGGCCCCAGGGCCCCGGGAGCCCTGCACGCAGAGGCCCTGAGGACAGGGACGGAGCTGCTCGCGCCGCAGGTGGGCGGCCGGCCGGCTGGCGGGCACTCGGGTGGCACGCAGAGCCCCCGGGCAGATTAGCGCCTGTTATTTCTGCGCCCCGAGCCACCCCCACACGTGGACCCGCTCCCGGCCGCCGCCGTCGTTTCTGCCCCGTCACGGTCTGACCCTCGCCCTGGCACGGCCCCCTGGTCACTCTGACCTCCTTCGGCCGGCCTGGCTGCGGCCCCGCGGGCTGGTGGCGGGAGGTCAGGGAGGGCCAAGGCGGGCCCCGCCGCCCTCTGCCTCTCTCCGCCTCGCTTCTCTGTTCCTCGCCTTCTCCTCCTCCTGGGCCCTCGGCCGCTCCCGGGGCAGTGCCCCCCGCCTGCACCAGCTCTGCCCTCGGTTCTCAGAGCGGACCCGGTTCCCCTCTTGCTCCATTTGAGTGGCAGGTGGGTTGGAGAAAACCAAGGCTCAGTGGGGCAGGTAGGGTGTTTGCCTTGCACGCGGCTGACCCAGGTTCAATTCCCAGCATCCCATAGGGTCCCCTGAGCACCGCCAGGAGCAGTTCCTGAGTGCAGAGCCAGGAGGAACCCCTGGGCATCAGCCAGTGTGACCCAAAAAGCAAAAAAAAAAAAAAAGAGAGAGAGAGAGAGAGAGAGAGAGAGAGAGAGAGAAACCATGGCTCAGGAGTTTCATGGTCTCAGAGCAGAGGCAGGAGAACATCCTGGAAGAAGTCAAACCCCAGCACCCTCCACCCCTGGCCAGCTCAAGGAACCAGATCCCCGAGCTGCTGGGAGTTTTCTGGGGGCGCGTGGAGTTTGAGCTAGGGAGAGAGGGAGGGCAGTGCCCGGCCCTGGGAGAGACTGACCCTCTGCCTGGGAGCTTGGTAGGGGGGCTCCCTCTCCCATGGGGGTCTGGGCAGGTGCCTTTCTGACTCTGAGGGAGTGCTGGGGCCCTCACATCAGGGGAGCCTCACGGTGGATGAGTGGAGGCGGGAGGCTTGGTTCTGCTCCCTGTCCCTTGGGTTTTAATGTCCGAGTGTGTCTGACCACCACAGTGAGGCAGCCCCAAAGGCCCAGCACCCCGGGAGGGAGCAGATGCACCCCCTGGGTGCAGAGGGGTGCTGCTCTTGGGGCACCGCCTTGGAGGCGGGTGGGTGGGTGCCTGAGCCTGCCTGGGCTGCCCCGGGGGGGGGGGGGGCGGGATAACGGCGACAGGCCCGGCTGGATCCGGGCTGCCCGGGGACCCTGGTGCAGGCCCGTGCACTAGGGGGGGCTTTGGGGAGAGATGCATTGCCGCCCCTTGCTGGGGAGGCCCAAGCTCAGGGTTCTTGGCGCTTCCTCCAGCTGAAACTGAATCAGCCCGTCGTAAGGGGACGTTCTCACGGTAGTAATAATAGTAGCTGAGTGTGCTGGCTCGCGGCAGGCGGCAGCTGCTTCCCTTATTAAATGGCACAAATGTGGACTCGGTTTCTGGCCCCCGAGAGAGGGCTGGTGGCGAGAGGAGGACACCGCGGTGAGGAGACGACGGGACCCAGAGATGACCCGTCCCCTCACGGGCTTCGGGGTTTGGGCAGCAGGCGGGAGAGAGAGGATGGGGACTGAGGGGCTGTCCTCGTTTCGGGCAACTCTGATCGGGCCCCCTGAGCACAGAGCCAGGAGTAGCCCCTGA